GTAACATTACTGGTTCAGGAAACGCCCACTAACCGATAATCGGAATAGGCTTGCTTCTATTGATCATTCTGTTACGTTTTTCGTTAATTTCCTAGTATGTTGGTCCTCAGAATTATACAGTACGTAGCAGACGCTATACATGGCGTATGGTTGAACATATTGGACACACCGCTCACTCGTCACCGCTACAATAATCGTAATGCAAAGTAATACAACAGTGGGATTTCGCCTCAGTCATTCAGCTTAAACTACCAGTACAATCTAGAAAATACCGGTCTGGAAAGAAGTCATAGGCACCCGCCTCAGTGAGATAGCATCAGATTTGCTTGAAATACTCATACAGAGGGGTTTATGGTTGCTTGGTAACACGTAGCCTTGGATGGCGGTTGGGGGAGGAGTTATCCACTACACTTTCATCACTATGATTCCAGAGAGCGCCCGCAGTTGTTCAAAATTAATCCATCGGCATCATACTCTCACCAAACTACTGATATTGATATTGCCAGCTCCACCGCTAGCAGTTGAAAAAACACTGATGTTCGAATACCTAGCGGCGGCGTATTAGTCATGAGAAAATATTTTAACCAACTAGTAAACACATTACTGAAGAATCGATTACTGCGAAAAGTCGCCCATGCATCCGTTACCACATAGCTTTACTCAAGATGGTTGCGAAAACAACGAAATTGCGTCATTTTGAATACAATAAACTCACCAAACCGGGAATGGGACGAGTCCAGTATGCTGGTTGGTATATCTGGACAAGTGGATGAACGATGAAGCTCGTTCTGCCCATCCGGCTATCCATCGGTTGGTTTGTCTGTCCCTTTGTCTGTCTGGCTACCTAAGTCTATCGAACTTAGGGCAGAATACTCATGTGACCAATCCGCTGTAGCGGAAGTAGATGTGGACGAGTTTTCGAGCACGAGGCAGCAGCCTCATCTGCCGCTGAGGAAACAAAGAGTGAAAATCGAAACCTATGCCACTGAATGGTGTGGCAAATCCCAGCACTTAGAACTATCCATGGGATTCACTCCGCCGAACTTTTCTGCAAGAAAGCACTTGATCATCGGCCACATACACCCCGAGGATTTAAACATGGCTTTTCGTTACACAAACCAGAAATATTACAGCAGTTTGGGAAAAAAGACCCCTCAAAAAGTGTTGCTACCCCAAATGGGGCACACTATCATTCTCTATCAACCACACTCTGGTAACCTGGTGGGACGTGAGAACCTGATGAGTTGCCCATCAACAAAAAGTCGAACCCAACGCGAGAACTACACCAAGCCTTAATCCAAACGGAGACTCTTGGATTTTTTGTTATTCAACAGTTCTCAAACTTTCAGCTGGTAAACCCTTGACGCACAGTATACTATAGCATTAATTCCCTACCTTACATACAATATGCGATCACTAAAAATGGGCTGACAAAAATAGCTGCGTTTTACTGCCTGCAAATGACATGTATTCGAATAAAGACCACCCTCATGGGTAACGCATAATATCGAAAGACACGATGTGGCATGCCATCCATCCGAAGGAAAAAGGCTATCCTCGAGGAAATTCCGCCATAACTTTCTGAAATAATATCTCTAATGTAACGCGCAATGGCTGATACTATCCATCCAGAAAGGGTTAAAATCCATGTTTCAAATTCCTGACACACTGCTAATGATGTAGTTCTACCGCGCACGTACTTCGAAATTCCAGGGTGCACTTCAGAAAAACCTTTGGAACAAGCATGACATGGGCTTATTGTTCAATGAAATTGCATTTGCGGAATATGAATGGCAGCTTATGACAGCATAGTAGCCTGTTGCTTCTGGGTCTACCTACACATCAGTAGATCATCATCCTCATTATGGACAGCATAACATCATTGTTCAACACTGATAATTCGCTGGCGCACAACGATTGTCGAACACATGAAGACATCTAAGATCCGCTGCTCGAACAAGCCAAGCCTCACAGCCACACAACAAAACAGCCCACACTGTAGCCTGGGATTCAGGGACACATCACGTTGATGCCATAGGTGTCTCAAATTAGCAAACATGACCCGAGGCTTACAGGTTCGTGCACTGACCTCATCTGTCACACTACAACACCTTCCAGAGTACGTGAAACGCTCCACAACTTCGATTGGTATTGTTATCAAAGGGTAGAGTGCGATAGGCGATGAACAATGTCTTGTACAGCAATGCAGTAACGCGGACATGTCAACTCCAATCGGCATTTTTATAAAAAAAAGCGCGTGCCAGTTAATTACAAATATACGCTATAGAAGTCATAACAGCATCCAACAGAGAACATTCCACTCTAATGAAGATCAGTTGACTCCGTTCCCGCGAGACTAGCTTTGAGGGAACAGAGACCGAACTCACCGTAAACTCTGGCGCCAAATACTACCCCAGAAAGACGAAGCTTCGAAATTCGTGCACAGGAGATTTATCTGTGGCATACAAATTGCATTGTTTCCCATAGGTGACTGGGGGTTCAGTGGTGTAACTTGAAACCGCATGACATACAACTCTTATAATTTTCCTTCTCTGTATAAGACCACTTTTGGAGTGGGGCCAGTTGTTGGTCTGAAGAAATTTGAACTATCTTATGGGCCAAACGATGTGACTGTTTGACGGTTGGTCTGTTTAAAGCGTGGTCCTCCCACAAATAAATGGAGGTCGATATGATATAGGAAATTAAACTAGAATGTTGCTTGACGGTTCCACCCATGCACTTTTTCGGCACCACATGTAATATATTTAATATGAGTGTGTACACTTAACACGGCCTAGGACAGTTTCAATACTAGAATAGCCCTTCAGTGGACACAGAGGATGAACATACAGGAATGGTATTATTTACAGCGAGATTGCGCACAAGTCTCCATTCAAACGAGGTGTCGCTCCAACTCCGATAGACCTGTGTAGGTTGGTGGCTTCCTTATGTAGTTTCACCAATTCCCCTCATGATGAAGGTATTCCTGGACGGTCTCCAGAACGGTAGGCTTGTTATGTAACGTATGTCATAAAGAAGAGTTATGATATTAATGCACCAGCGGAATATGCTCATTTGCAAACATATTTGGTTTTGCGGGGAGCGATCCGGAACCCAGCTTGATCTCTTGTTTGTTAAAAAAAATAGACGAGAGATTCAGCTGGTTCCAGGTAAGCCTTCCGCAAAACAAAATTGGTTCGCAAATGAACGTATTTCGCTATTTTCGTGCAATTTCGGTCCAAGAATAACATGAGGTTGATGGAAACTCGGGGACTGCCCCTACCTGATGAGCCACAAGAAGGGCGAACCCGGTCGTGGGCTGTCGAATAATTTTCAGTGACCTTATTTGTAGTATATTGCGTCTAATGATGAACTGGCTTTAGTGAATCATCGTAGTACTATCCAAATTTGAGGTGAACGCATCATGACTTGCTGGAACGGTGTTCCTCACTCCGAGAGAGACCGTCCTCCACAAACCGTAACAAGTTAGGTAGTTCTTCGTAGATGATTTCCGTAGAGTGGCATCAGAGGCAGCAGCCTGGTTTACTACCAGCAAACTAGAAAAGATGAAGGGAACTCTAAAACGTATTATCCATGCTTTGTCTCAGAATGGTAAACCTTTGCGGTCCAAACAAACTAAGATGGTTACAATATAATACGTTGCGCACACGGACAAATTCATTAATCGAATTGAAGATGTAGATACACCAGATGAGTTTCAGAAATGCCATAGCGGGCAAATAGTAGCAAATGTAGCAGGAGAGGATCATTTTTCCTGTACAGAGTAACTAATTGCACAACTACATGTATTAACCTTTCTACAGAGTGACAATCAGCCAGTTCTACCTTCGAAACCATGTCCAAGTTTCCAGGCTGCACCACTATTTAATCGTTTTTAGTTTGTCAAATTGAGCAGATGAAATCTTATTTATTTGCGAGTTTAACGTATGCAGTATCAATGATATCCCTTGGGCGCCACAACAAAAGGTAACGAACTTACCAGACCACAGTTCGGGCAGCTGCTGTGTTGCGCAGCACGCGTATTGATCTAGCTTTAGAATGTGACAACGTACATGTGGACATGCAGCCCTACGACTGGTTATAGGTCCAGTTGGTGCTGATATCACATGGTCGGTGAACGTTTGTCCACCTATCAGATGTTCAAATCGAGTTAGGCGCGTGACTTTTGCATCGGTTGAACAGAAGTTATGGCTAAAAATGTAGACAGACGAAGGTGACTGGACGCTAGTCAGCGGATAGGTGACCTGTAAAGTTGTCACTAAAATTCTTAAAGGCCATCTACTCGTAGAAACTTTATGTAATAAAGCTTAAACTTTCATTTTGTACAAGTCTTATTTGATTTTCGAATTAGTCACTTACCCATATCTCCATATCCAATTCTTTCCATTCTACGTGATTCAATTCTTCATTGTCTTCGTATCTAAAAATATCTTCCCAAAATATTGGACTCGAGTTGGCTCCTATGGAAGCCATCCGGTCTCTCAGGTCTCCGGGAAGCTAACACAAAGGGGTGCTAACCTGGAAACAGTGTGGCGAAAACATAGGGAGTTTGTTATCAAAAAGCCCCTGCATTGAAATGCAGAAAATTTAAATCATAGCTACCATTGTTATCAAAATACATGCATCAGGCGCATGACTCCGAGCTTCTCAGATTACGGCGTACAGAGCCGATTATATCCCCATTGTGACGCATCACAAACGGTAGCTGGTTACTTGAGTTGCGACGCCCACAAAAGATAGTACAACTTTAGTCTTCTCAACTCTTGTAGATTTCTTTTTTTTGCGTATTGGGAAAACAGACATTTTCAGCAACATTTCAAAGCGCCTAAAGAAAAATGATAAAGGATTCATTTGCAGAGCAGATTAACCAAACTTGGTGGACACCAATTACTGTCAAGACCCTGTCAAGACCTCTACGTGTAGTTTCGCTGTACCATAATTGGACTGCTAGGGAAAAACAGGGCGACTGCCACTGTGTGCGCATGGTTTAAATGTAAGCTGTCCAGATCCTCAAAAATAATCGATTTCAGTCAAGCAGGTTGTTGAAAAAGTCGTCCATCATAAATAACTGTTAGAACTAATATTAGTTGGACGCCCGCTTGTTTGGCGGAGGGGAAGTATCAAGGTCAGCAGCGTGTAGCATCTTAGCAAAAGGTTAAATGATTCACTTATCCACATTGACTTGATAACAGGTCTCCTTGACCGAGCTGTCCAAAGCCTCATCACAGATTTCGCAGAGGTATCTGAATAACTTCCAAGGTCATTATTATGTAATTCATGTGGGTGGATGAATAGTTAAAATGGACGCGCTAACTAATCAATAGCGATTCAATCACCTCATGAGGTTATCGGGCTGGAACAACTCGTGACCTGCTTGAATGCTATGTGGGATACTGACGGACATTGATTATTTTTACCGTATTACCTACACAGTTCTGCGTTGGTCCTTAACTCCATCTCTGAAATCAATTCAGCTCAAAATGAAGACCGCGAACATCCTTCCGGAGCAAACCTAGTAAGTAACCAGGGAAGCTTCTCAAAGTAAAACCAGCGGAGATGCATAATTCATGGCTTCATAAATTCATACGGAAAATGCACACAGACCATGTAGATGGCTGGTCGACCTTTCGTTAGAAATTTGAGTTCATCTGGTTCTGTGCACTTCACTAGGCCGTCTCACTGTAAACACGTCAGATATGGTGGAACTATGAAGTCCGGCGCCTGGCTCACCTCAGTTGGGTCCGATATGTCTCTATCGATCGTTTGATGTCAACTTCACCTGCGTGAACACTGAGACAAACACTTGTAATACACCCTGCTTATCAACTGTTGTACGATCACAAGGAAAGAAAGTCCTCGGAAATGAAAAGGAAAGGTGAAAATCTGGAGCCCTGGTCCAAAAAGCCTTACTTCTTCGGACAGAACGATCACAAAGAGGCTGCTTACAACTTCAAACAGCTTTTTATCCATTAAGGTGAGAAACAAGATACCGAATTGAGTAGAAATCAGCAAGCATTACTATCTAACGTGATCACTGAATTCTTCGATCTTTTGATAAACGCTGCAGTTTGAAATTTAGTAAATGAAAATCGTACATAGTTGCGCCAACGGGCTTGACCGATGAGTATTGGTCATTCTAGCCGGACTTTATCACGTCAAATGCTGCCCCTCATTAGCGTTTAGTCCTTCCTCATCTCTCGGGATCATTTACTGAAACCGTCCGTACTCTGTCATTTCAACTTACCCGTCATTCTAGCATCACCAGCGGCTGCAACAAACTAACCGGTAAACTGAATATTTCAACAGCCTGCAGGTGAAATGGCCATTGAATACAGTCTATTGATATGGATTCAGACTAAATGGTTCATGGCAGTGGAGCTGTGTATCCATGTTCGTTGTTTACTAACTCCCGAAACCCCAGGCGAAATGTATGACACGCTGCTTAATGCAAGTAACCGAATTCCGCTTCAAAACGTGCCAAGAAACAGCCATTAAACGTTGTTTGAATAGGAGTTTCGAAGCCGAGCTTCTTTTTTGGCTGGTAAATGACTCTTCCTGCCACGTGGGCGGATGTATATTTTCAAGGCCGTTAGTAGAAGCATTGTTCTGAGTAGATGAGTACTGCTAATAGATGTGATGACCGTAAGCAGACGCACTGTGACAGAAACTAACAGTAGTTCGCTTGATTCCCGGATTTCGGTTCCCATTGAACGAATTTGCTATTTCCTGAGTTGTAGCCGACAAGTTGCGACACATTATTGCAGAATACTGTTGGGATTAACCAAGCGAGCTCAGTACGGAGGGAGAGCGAACTTCTGCGTGCTCAAGGCAACTTCCCGGTAATCGTTCGGAAACAAGTGAGAATATACTAATCGCGAATAATTTGGATTGCACGCAAAACTTTAACAAATGAATGGCGTGAAGGATGTTCACCGAAAAACTTAAAACGGAAAGCATTTTTTGCACATTTATCCCATCATCGCCCCTATACATTTTTACGCTACATAACTACACCAAATAACAGTGGTGTAAAAACTCGTGGATTTAAATGGTCGATAAACTAGAGCACAATTTACCATGACCTCCCGAAACCGCTAAGCAATAAATATGTAATAACAGCGCGGAGGCAGTCTACATCGGTGAGCTCTGTCATATCCTTTAGAATTGGAGCTAAGACGTACTTCGCGCGGCTGACAGCGTGTTGGCTGCATTGAGATCAGGCCACCACAACAGGTGAGCTATAAACAAGTTGAACTTTGGCTACTCACGAGTAAACAACTTATCACACCTTCTACGCCCACCATAAAGACTATACAACTAGGCATCCAGGTAATCGCATAATGTGATGAGTAAGAACATTCTGACTGGATTTCATGTAAACCAAGCAAAGTGATTGGAAATTAAGCTAACAGTTCTTCATATAACTGAAGCGCCATTATAAGGACAAGCGGTCCTGTTTGATTAAGGAATAAGACGACAGACTGCGGTTTCCCTAATCCGAATAGCTTATAAAGGTATTCGGAAACTGGATTGTTTTCTCTGCTAATCTGTAAAGTTCATTTGTGCTTCTACTAAGGCCATCTGAAAAGACAAAATCGCTATCATCAAATTCAACGATGAGAATACAGGTGTACTGAAGTTGGACTGGATTTTGTAACATTTGTCCATTGAAGTGGAAATTCATTCACCTGTCACATTCATGTTTGTCTCGAATGGGAGCAAATGAAAAAACGGCTCGCTATTCGTGGTGGTATCAGCCGAATACGCAGGTCGAAAGCTGTTTCAACTAAGACAAAACCAGTAGTGAACTGTGGGGAGATTTTTGCCAGATGTACCATCTTACGTATTTGGAATGTTTTGAATGCAAATTAGCTGCTCGGGACCAGTTTATACTAGATTCGTTCCAGGCCAGACTATAATTATCTTCGCTTAAACAATTAAGAAAAATCTGCTGACTTTCAAAACGTTGACTTAGTCTCTCTGATTCTTCGGTTTGTTTACAGAGAACAAGGCCTTCTGATTTTGATTCAAGTGAAGGGCTGTTTTGCCCCGAAATGAAACAACATTAATAAGACACTTCACTCATTTCTAAATTCAAGTTTCAGTGTAAGCAAATTAAAATAAATATGTTTCAGTTTCACAATGATTCTCCGGTAATCCCACTGTCAGGAGAAAACGAAAAACAGCAGGGAGTAAACTCGATAATCTGCTGTTACACACAAAGCAACCAAACACAAATTCATGGCAAAAAATGCCTCCATGACCCATGAATACGTAGAGTTTAGAGAGCTGCCTTAATATGTAGAATAAAAATCTTCTTTCGAGTCGTCCCTTATAGAGCAAATGGATAAGTTAGTATTCCAACCAACTCCAATTCAAAACATTGCTCAGGAAACCCGCCAGTCGTTTTAATGGGAATGGTGCCTCCATCTGTATGGTAATCGACACTTACACAACTCGCATGTTGGTTCATATGCGCGAACATTTGCAGTAGCCGCACATCTGTTGATGAAAGGCTGCACTCTCGGTAACTAATTCAATACACAATCTTCACAACTCAGTCCTGTGGATACCTTGAAAATACTCAAAGCTGGATATGGTATTGGTGTTATGTTTTCCAGAAACGTTGGAAATTTCGCAACATAAATCTCGTCATCTTTCACAGCTTAGCGTGTCGGCAACATGTGTATCTAAAAGGCATCATCAACCACGACCATATATTGAAACCGTTTTTATACAATTACACGGTCAGTGCGCTGATCATTTCGACAAGCAGGGGGTATCAGACCACAAACTGGCAATGGTTACCTCGTCAGCAATCCAGGCACCAGAAGTAGACATAAGCCACATGTCCTGACCCTCTATTTGCCCCGAAAAAGTCGGTAGTTCGCAACAAGCACATTTCCACGGTACATCAGCCAGCAAGCGAATGGGCTTAACTTTTTTCCACGCTCAAACAAATATATTCTCTAGTTCTTTTTTCATAGCCCACCAGATTGGATCATATCAATGCTGGCATTAGCGAAGAAGATTATTTCCCTCAGTTCCTTCAAGAATCAGTGGACAAATTGTATAACACACCTGTCACCGTACGTGTCCAATATTTGGGGAAATTGGGTAGTCTGATGTTGGAACAATGATCAGCGAGGTAGATTACATCAGAGCCGAATTCTGGAGGGCACATGACTGCCATTTTTTGTAACTCGACCGGAAAATGGTGGACGTAGAGGTTAACTCATTCTGTCTACCAATGAGAACCCACCGTAAACGACCATGAACGACAAGTCAATGTCAAATTACCGTTCTCCACCATTGTACGATTCCTCCTAGATGCGGTTAGCTGAAGAATATTGACATCACTGAATATCTTCGCAGTTAAGTATAAGTTAATTTACCAACAGACACAAATGATGCGAGTTCATGTTTACAGACAGCATACTAATCTCTGTTCCTGATGACCTGGCTTATGATAGCTCCGATCAGACTAGCCTGCATCA